CTTTTCTCTCTCTAAAGTTTAACAAAAATTATCTTTTTTATTTTCTTTTTAATTTTCTTTTTAATTTTCTTTTTTATTTTATTTTTAATTTTCTTTTTAATTTTCTTTTTATTTTATTTTTTAATTTTCTTTATAATTTTCTTTTTAATTTTTCTTTTTTTATTTTCTTTTTAATTTTCTTTTTAATTTTCTTTTTAATTTTCTTTTCTCTCTCTAAAGTTTAACAGATATTTTCTTTTTTATTTTCTTTTTAATTTTCTTTTTAATTTTCTTTTTAATTTTATTTTCTCTCTCTAAAGTTTAACAGAATTTTTTTTTTTTAATTTTCTTTTAAAATATTAGTAAATATGTCTTTCTCATGTTCTTCAAAAAATCTTTTCAGGTGTTCCTTTGAAAGAATTCGTTGGCCTGAGACCTAAAATGTAAAGCCTTTTGTACAACCAGACCTCTAAAGAAGGCATCTCATGTGAAAAGGAAAAAAAAGTTGCGAAAGGCATTTCAAAAACTGAAATAAAACAGACTCTCCGACATGAAATGTATAAGAAATGTTTGAATGAAGACACTACGACCACCAATTCAATGACGTGCATTAGAAGTAAAAATCGTGAACTTTTCATGGATACCGTTGTGAAAAAAGGACTTTGTAGTTTTGATGATAAACGTTACTTGAAGAACCCAATTGAAAGCTATGCCTATGGACATTATAAGATAGACAAATATTAGTGATAGTATTTGAGCTGCATCGGATAGAAATCGACCTTATGCAATGAATATCAATACATCTTTTAACTTAAATTCGGGTTAAAAAAATCTCTATGCAAAGTCTGTATCTGTTTGAAAATTGAGTTGACATAAGAATCCTACAAAACAGACAAAAAATCATCTATTGTTTCGTATTTGAATGTTCCAAAACCAACCAAAGTCTTATACATGTACATGTTTACGCGCACTTGCATAAGGTCGATTTCTATCCGACGCAGCTCATTTATTAAATATTTAAAACAACTAACCGTGTCAGTCTGTTTAACATATATATCCATAATAATATTTACGAATGTCATTCCTTAAAAAGTTCATTGAATATAATCCTACATCACATTGAGTGAAAAGTCACATCACATTGAGCGAAACAGTACATCACATCGGGTGGAAAAAGGCTCCCGATTCCTCCTCAGAGAGGTCATACAGTTCATTTTTCACCGGGGAAATCGGTTCATATTTAAAATTTTTCTCAGACCACTGTGGGTGTAAATCTTCACGTATCGGTCTCTTTGAGGCCACCTTCACCGGAATCATATTGCCTTTGCTCCACATAGGGTCTAAAATGGATCGAAGTGGAGTGGCCTGGGAAGTTGACGCCTCATTCTCGTATATACATGTAATCGTTAGAGGTGTCTGCAATAATAAAAATGAAATATTTAAATAAAAAACCCAGGGAGAAATGAAATACTTTCAGTGTCGCTTATCATTTTTTTTAAGAACAAAAGGCTGTTTGCAATATACTAATTAAGTTCAATTCTATACTTGAAAAATAAGTATTGCTTTGTTTGCATTTAAATGTTTCAAGTTAAGAATAAATGGTGATTCTTGAAAAAAAAAAACTCTATTACAAGACCTACCTATTGTATTTATTGTTAACTTGTTCTTGTTCTGAACATGTATGAAATATTTGCCACTGAACGTTAAGCAACCAACAATCAATCATGATTCTTGAACATATTTAAACTCTACATTAATAAATGTATACTTACGGAAGGTGTTGGTGGTGGTGGTGGTGCGTAAACTGGTGCCCCATTTTCTTTAGGCACAACCTGCTCTTGTGGGTGGGAGTGCGGCTAAAACATAAAAAATAAAACTCAAACTCTGTTATGAAGAAAGACTTATACTTGCGAGAGGTGTTGGTGGTGTGTTACATATTGTTTTTCGTTCATTATTTTGTACATAAATTAGGTTGTTATTTTTTTTTCGGATGTTTGTTTCACATTCATCATTTCGAAGCTATTTATAGCTGACTATGTGGTATGGGTTTTGCTCATTGTTCATGGTCATAAGGTGACCGAAAGTTGACAATTTCTGTATCATTTGGTCTCTTGTGAAGAGTTATCTTATTGACAATCATACCACATCTTCGTTTTATGTTAGTCAATTGTTACATTAAATCATTTAAAATAAAAGACAAATGTGAACACAGATATCTCCCCTAACAAAAGCGGGGTAGATAGATAAACAGAAAGATGAACGGTAATAGACAATAATTAAAACCTTCCTGTTGTTTACGGTAAGCGCATACAAACAGAAAAAAAACACCTTAAAAGGTATAATCTTTAATTTCCTAGGTGTTTTTAAAGAAAACTCCTACATGTAGACCTAATGTAAAAAAAAGAAGAAAGAAAATAGTCTTACCTGTGGAAAGTATGCTGTCAGGGACTCCAGGTGGCCCCTCAGGTTGAATAGATCGTCTAACTCATTCAGCTCCAAGTTAAACTTCATAGTTCCATTTGATGCGGCTAAATCCAAATAATATAGTCCTCTAGCGGACTTTTTAAATGTTAACACTTTCCCCCTCCCAAATTGTGTTCTGTATTCGGTCCGACCAGTTGCGGACACAATTTGGTTAAATTGAACATTTTCAGATGCCATTATAACACTTAACAAATTTCGTAAATAATAGATTTCTAGTAAAAAGTTAGAAGTACTTGAAAACGAAAAATACGCACTTTTATACTATTTCATTTTTCTAGCAAATATTATCTAATCCAATAGTATTACACTTTGAAGTATGGGGTGGGACTAATGGAGAGATAACCACCCCATTCTTATGTTTCACATAACAACTCTATGTTGATTGTTTATGTGGTGCGCCAACAAAAATGCGCTTAACAACAAAACAACGTGTTGGTGAATCTCTAGAAACTTTACTGTGATAATATGTCATCTGCTTTGTTTTGGGTTTCTTAACTTAAAATCTTTATTTAAAGCATCTACATTGTGAAAAAAAAACCAAAACATTCGATTTTTTTTTCTGAAAAAAATATTTTGAGTATCACTGTCTCGTACCTAATATTTTCTTATTATATGTGCTTCCGTTCCCCTCTTTTCAAGTTATACTATTGTTGAAGATCATATAGCAACATTTCAATTCTTTCATATTTATTCTTTTTCGTATTGTACTTTTTTTTTGACACGGTCACGATCTCCCGCCTTTTTATTTTTAATTAGACTGTTAATTATGTGCACATGCGCAGACGATTCACAGAAAAAAAACTGAAAAATCAAAATGGTGTACGTTAAGTGTTTGTTGATGTTTTGTGTAGTTATAAGTATTAATGGTCAAGTGCATGATCTAAACATTAGAAAATGCAGAAGCATAGTAGATGAGAGCTACGAGGTAGTTGAGCTACAGTGTCTCTATGAGGGAGAGGGCAGTTACATTTTCCATTGGCCGACTTCAGTCAAAAAGATCACACTGGATAGATTGGCGGGTTCCAGCACCTTGATGACTTTCGGTCTGCACTTGGAGAAAGTTCTGATTAAAACCTGTACTATCGACAACTGTTGCTTAGCCATCTCCACAACCCCAAACACAGAAGTGCAGATAGCAGATAAAGTTTGTGTAAGATGTTATTATGTAACTTGTTTTCAACATCCCCATTTTTATTGTTTACATAAAATTGACACCTACTTTATGAAGGACAAATTCACTTTATTTTCTTTTGAAAGTATAACAATATAAGAAAAGAAAGAAAGAAATATTTGTTAGCATAATTTTAATTGTATTTCTGTAGGACTGGTTTGTATTAAAATCTATAAATATTAAATTTAATAACTGTCTATAAATATTGTTTTTTTATACGCCCGTTTACGGGACGTATTATGGTATACCGTTGTACCTCCGTCTGTCCGTCTGTCCGTCCGTCTGTCCGTCCGTCTGTCGTCAACATGTCGGACATTAACTCAAAAACGCTTAAACCAATTTGCATAAAACTTTGGTGAATTGTTTATATCTATTGACGTGAGCTGCCTTTCGTTTTTTATAAATTTTAGATTTTACGCTTCCGAGTTATGGGGTTTTATTCATTAAAAAAAGAGGGATTTTCCAGTTTTCGGACAATAACTCAAGAATGCTTTCACCAACTTGCAAGAAATTTTGGTTGATTGTTTATATCTATTGATATGAGCTCCCTTTGGATTTTTATAAATTTTAGATTTTACGTTTCTGAGTTATGGGGTTTTATTCATAAAAAAGGGGGATTTTCCAGTTTTCGGACAATAACTCAAAAATGCTTTCAGGAGTTCTCATGAAACTTTGATGAATTGTTGATATCTATTGATGTAAGCTCCCTTAACAATTTTATAAATTTTATTTGTTTATAGTCTGACAACAGATTTACTAAGTATTGCGCAACAGCACAGTGTATTGCACAACAGCAAGAAACCTTTAATTGAATATAAATTCAATTCATATAACCAACTTCAAGTTCTTTGACTACATTTATTCAGAAACCTATAATACATGTATGTCAAATATTTAATTACAATCCAAATTCAGACCTGTATCAAGCTTGAATATTGTGTCCATTTTTGTCCCAACTGTTCAGGGTTAGACCTCTGCGGGCGTATCCAGCTGCGCTCAGCGAAGCAGATTATTTTGTTTTCAGTCACTTGAAGACCTTGTACCAACTTTGGAAATGGGTACCTCTCCTCATACCGAGGTGGGTTCTCTCGGTTCCGTGCCAGTACAGACTCGTAGTGTTCCAGCATCCTCAACATACGAGCACAACCTTCTGTCCAGCACTGTCCCTGGCCATCAGCAGGTGGGTTTTCATCAGTAGTGCAAAGGGAATCTCTGCTTAACATTATCATTGCATTATGATAATGTATTCTAAAAAACATTAAAGCACTGCTGTTAAAATTGACTTAAAATTTTGAGAGTACTTATTTTTCATTTATTTTAGACATTCATACTTATAAATTTCTCATGCTTTAAATTCAGCTAAAGCTAAATGTGTGTTGATTGTAACATGTAGTATGGTGTGGATTGGGTTATGTTATTTTATTTGTATACATGTAGTTTATTATTGTTTTTTTTAGACTACTACAGAAAATGAGACAGCAACCAATACAACACCGTGGATAGTGGCAACCGTCACCACTTTAATAGGTTGCTTAAAAGTTTATATAATTTTTCTTGGAGTAATTTTGTTTCTTTTAATTGTCTCATTTTTGTTTTCTTAATAAAAAAGTATTACTATCAATCAGACTTCATTCCAGTTATGTTATCAATAGATGATTCTTTAAATGTTGAAATGGACACCATGACTAGTTAAATTATTTCTTTTCTTGTAGTACTTCTGGTGATAGCATTCGTTATTTTGAGGAAGAAATGTTTGAGGAATAGTAGGGGAGGGTTAATTGATCACGGTCTTCCTCTGCAGGAGATTCCTTCTGCCCCTAAATATAAGTACTATTAGGATATTTTTTTTTTTTATTAATTTAAATTGAAATTTCAATATCACTGCTTTTAACTCTTTTTTTTTACTTACAGTGATATTCTTTCTAATTAGTGGATTTATTGTTTGGAGGAAAAGACGTTCTCAAAATATTTCAAACTAAGAAGATGAACTATATAATAAAGCCTGGTACAATTTAAGTAGTAACAATTTATAAAATTTGTATTTTTTTTTTATTTTCTTCTTGTAGAACTATTTCAAGTCCTCATCTTTACACTCATCAGTTTGCTAGTGGTTTTAAACCGAATACATAGATTTTTAATAAATGCTGCACCAGCTATTCGCAACTTCATCCCCCTGTAAGACAACTTCTTAACCCTCCTCCACATCAACCGCTACACCAAGCAGCAGTTCAACCCATACCACCTGCAGTACACCGAGAAATCATCCTACCCTTGCCAGCACCACCACGTATTTTAAGAAGAAGCACCAGACAGTCAATACCACCCAACAGACTTAATTTATAATTTATTTATGTGATTAATTTGTGTATTTTAAGCTTCTCAATGATTGAAATTAGTGTTTTTCAAACTGCTATATAACCAGTGTAATTTTTATGATAAAAAGGTTGGTTCAAATATTATGAATTTTTTATATTTTTGTCAAAGGTTCAAAATAAATACTTTGTTAAAATTTTATGAAAATTAAACGAGCCAAATTAATTTTAGTTAAGGTGTTGAGTACCACCTTAATTATAAAACTATGAATAATACCACTGTAAGACTAGCTTTATGAATCATATTAATGTTTAAAGTATTTCTTACCTGTCCTTTAAAATATTCAGCACTATCTGTAGCATGTCTCTGCTGTACACACTATTTGCTGTGTTGCACTGTTGCATGAGTTCTCCTAAAAATGTCTCACTCATACTCATGAGGCACCCTATTTTAGTTTCCTTGCTTTATGAAGCAAACTATGATATAGTCCAGAAATATTAAACTGTGTATTGCTAAATGTGTTGATGGGCTGGTAGCAATACCAATCCTTCATTTCCTTAAACAATTCGGGTTGTATTGAACACTTATAACATGGGAAAAAGTGAATTCCCACTGCTGGTATATGTCGAGATACAAAATTAGTTAATTCATTAAGAAAGTTACTTGTTGAAGCATGATCCATCATGAAGTTTTCTGGATAGAATGAAAGTATAATAATTTTTCATAAATATTAAAGGATTTATTCTTCTCTCTTGGTTATGATAAGATTTATTAAATAAAGTTGGGTTGATAAATTTAATTCATTTAGACTTAACTGAGATGCCATTTTAGGATTAATTTATATATGACTAAGCATCCATTGTGGTGACAAAGGAGATATTAGCATTTCTATGTTATATTATCTTAAGAAGTTTATTGAGGGTTTTTTTTTTTATTGTTGAAGGTTTAAACAAAGTAGAGTGATAATTTTCTATACATAAGAAAAACCAACATCCTGTGTTTGGCATGATTATAAATTATGGTTAAATTAATACATTTTTCTTTTAATATTTTTTTTTTAATTTTTTGATGTTGAAAATATTGAACAAGTCAGATTTTGAAATGATGTTACTTCAAAGGGTGTTGTTTATATTATACATATCTAGGAGTTTTGTATATGTTTACACAATTCTGTTTTGTTATGTTAATTAGAAGTTTAACTCAAATTAGAAGTAATATATGTTTATCTGTCTGATGTTCTCCATTAACAGTTAATCAGTTTTGAAACTTGATTGCAATTAAGGTAGATAGGGTGTCTTCCTCCATCTTGGATTTTGAAATACCAGAAAACAATCGGTCTAGATCTATAATAAAAGGTGCAAATTTTGAGAGTAGTAGGTAATTCATGTGTAAGAATTTTCATTTCAATATAGAAAATGACATATTCTATCATATTTATGGTTGTATTTTACAAAAAAACAGAATACTTTTGTTTGATTCTATATTTTCCAACTTTGCCACATAAAGGGAGGCAACTCAAATGTAAGGGCAGATAATTCACATAAAGTTACTTTTACAATAGAATGTGTTAGGAATTTACCTATTTTATTATGTAGAAAGAAAACGGGTCCGGTGACCCCATTTATTCTTTTTCTTATCTGAAAGCATACTATTAGAGCTATCTTCTCATATTTTATCTCAAAATTCTATGGTGTAGTTTTCATTTTATGGCAGAAAATTGGGTTTTCCATGCATAATCTATACAAAATCTGTCAATTTTGCACAACCTGTAGCATGAAAATAAAGCCCGTGACCCATTCTTTTCATTATTTTTTTTAAAAAAGCATGATATAAACTACATTTTGGCAAATTATTAAAAAAATCTATGGATTATAATTTAGACACCCCATCTACCTTAAGACGATTTCTTATACTCTACATCTAAAGATTGTTATACATGTTTATCTATCAACAGTTATTTAGCTTGAGGCTTGATTGTAATTAAAAATATTTCGTAATTACACAGTACAATAACTTCTAAAGTAAGAAAATAAAAATATTTATGAAGCTTTAAATCTAAGGAATTATCTGATCTGATATGATCTATCAGATTAAAAGATAAAATTTATTTGGTCTTAATATAATGTAAAAATATCAAAAATGTTATAGAGGTTAATGGGGAACATTAGACAGACCTTAGTAGTATACTTTAGTATATGAAATGTTTATACTGTAATATATAACATGTATATAGTCTTTGTTTTCTTGTTATTAAGCAATATAGTTGTGATAATTTATTAAATGTTAATTGTTTTAAAGTTGGTGTTAAGTAATTGTGATAATCATCAAAGTTCATATTTCAAATCATGATACTTGTACTCATGATATGTTGCTATATATTTCTTCAACTTTTCTATTCATTTACAATCATATGATAGTTTGAGAGAGGAAAAGACTTTTGTTTTATCATGTATATACTCTCTACAGGTTCCCTCTATAAAGACAAATTTTAGAAAGAAAGTAGTGCTTATACTATAGTTTTGGTGCTATGTATTCCAACAGATTCCTCATATAGAAACAAATTTTATAAAGAAAGTAGTGCACTACATTTTTACTTTAGTTTTGGTGCTATGTATTCTTACATTGATAAAATAAGCATTTACGGTTGTTAATCAAACCATGTTACCTTCATATATTTTATCTATATTTTGTTACTTTATCTAGTGCAACATTCCCTTCACTTAATTTTTGCGTCATACATGTTTTCATTTTAAACATCGAAATCATGTGGGTTATATTTTTATTTTATAACATAATTTATCTTCTATCACATTCCATCAAAGTTCTTTTTTTTTTCTTTTTTCTTTTCTTTTTTTTTGTAGTCATTTTAATCATATCACTATATGTAATCTTTTACATGTCTCTTTTTAGAAATCCATTCTTGTTAAAAAAAACATTTGTTTTAGAAGCTTTATAAAATTTTATATATTAGAAACAAACTCAGGGTTGTATGCTCAAATACCGGTTTTAATATAAGTTTTTTATATACTATACATATATTGTAATATTTATTTTTTATGTTAAAATACTCAATCAGTTTTTGCAATAATGGGGATCTATTCAAAATGTGATGTATACATAATGTATATAAGTTTTTGATATTAAAAATAATTTATTTTCTTCAATCTTTGTTTTATCTCTTCTCAAATTTCTGTAGTTTGTGTGTTCTGGAAACAAAATGGATGCCACCCTCATACCCTTACCAACAACCATCTCTCTCTCGTATTTACTAACTCCAGCCAAATAACAATTTAGCCAAGCAAGGCAAAAGGGGGTAACAACCCAAAATTCTGCAACGTGGACAAAATGGACGTCATCTCAAACATACCCTGGTCACCAAACAATATTGCTCTACCTTGAAAAAGTCGGCAACGTGGAAACAAAATGGACGACAAACATACCCTGGTTACCAACAAATGTTGCTCTACCTTGGACAAAAGTCTGCAACGTGGACACAATCATTCCACCATCACTAGCACAATATTTACACAAGCTGCTCTACCTGCTCTACTGTTTTCTTATCCCTATTCTACTACTACTACTGCTAATACCAAAAAGGTATAGCCAATTTCCCGTTTATTTTTTTCGTTGTTTGGTTCACATGTTCAAATTTAATAAATTGATGAATTTAATAATTTATTGATAACCTAAATCCTTGTTAATATATTTACTTCGGTAGAAAAGAAAGTTAATCTTCTCATATGGACTTTAATCTGCATATCTATCATCTATTTTGGGATTGAAAAAAAATATCTTTTAAAAAATGCGGTTTCGAGCCTATTTCTTCATTTTAATTTGGTTACACGTTCAGCAATAACTGATACAAATATGATATATTACCAATGATAAGGCCATATATTTGAAGCTGTTCAAAATTTTGTACATTATAGGTACGTGTATCAGATCGGACATTTTTTTTTTTTAATTGTTCTATATAAACTGAGACTACTATAACACAGTGTTATAGTAGTCTCAGATATAAATAATCTTACTTTAAGTTATCTCAGGTCTAAACAAAATGTTACTATGAGTGTTCTAATGAGTTTTGTTTGATATTTTTTTGTTTAATTCAGTTAAAAGTTGATTTTTTTTACACGAGAAGGTCTGCTAAAAAGTTTATGATGATCCCTTTTTTTCGGCATAACAAACGGATACTCTTTAATGTACACTAGGTGGACTTTCCTCTGTTCCGATGAAGGCAGTGCACGTCTTTCATTTAAAAGATTAAATCTTAGTTTTGCAACAGACGGCGGCACATCGGGCATTGACTTACCATTTTATAATTTGTAACAATTATGATTAACCATATATTTATGAGTTATAACAAAATTATTTTTTGTACATCTTTATTTAAGATGATTGAGATTTGAGAATGATATGAAAATAATAAAATATATATTCCAAAAAAAGTTATCTCAGGTCTAGTTATCTAGTTTGAAATATATCCACTGGAAATAAGCCCAATAAAACACAAATCCCCGTTTACTCATTGCGAGTGTTTTTTAAGTCTTTTTTTTAGTCTTTTTTTTAATGATTTTATTATATTATCTTTTTTGTGAAAATTTTGAGTGGTTGAGCATGAAATGGACACCGATGCTACAAAGAAAATTTGTTTAATGTCATCTGTTGCAATATATACTAAGTATTACATGTACATGCACGTGGACAGGATGTTCCCCAGAAAATTAAGGTATTCAAAATAAGTTATACACACCCCAAGGGTACACGCCACTGCCATATGGAAAATTACTGGGTCACCAGTAAACTGGTAATCAGCCATGCAACTAATCAGTTGACTGACCATGCCACTACAATTTAAAAAGTTTGTCGTTAGATCAAAATGAAATATTTATTTTTATTTAAAATTGAAGAACTAAAAGGATTTATCATAATTATGAAGGGAAATAATTCAACAAAATCGGATTATTTCCCAAAAGATTATATTTTTTTTTTATTTTTTCCGGGGAAAATAGAAAACTGTATATATAAAGGATCCCATCAAGGATTTTATAGAAATCCTTGGTCTCATGAAATGGATCTCACACATGCAAAATTAAAATTTATACATTTATTGATTCTATGATTTCTTGAGAAATCAGGAGCGAAATTTAACAAATATTTAGTTTTCATATTAAATTAAATTTACCTTTCCTCGCTATAATTCATTTGACACAACATTGAGGGATTTATGGGTTTGTCCGCAGTGGCGGATCAATTTCCGGGGGTTGGAACCCCCCATTTTTTTGCATTTGAATGGGGACATATAATTGGACCCCCCTTTTATCCTGGGTTAGGAACCCCCCTTTTATAAATGGCTGGATCCGCCCCTGGTCCGTACATGCAACGTGTTTGTCATTAGTATTTCACATGACTTATTGTTTTCGCACTTCGCCTTGAAGCTCATTATTCAGACTGTTTCAGACAAGATGATGAAAATAACGTGCAAGGCACTTTTTTTCGATCACCGTGAAGTGCACTCTCCCCCTCTTCAAGAATTGTATAAATCCTCGTCCTTTTTAAAATTACCACCCTCTTTGTGATTACCGTTATGCTATTATGCTAACAGTAACCCGGGACTTGATTTACATGTAATATCAGGGGCGATTCCGGCCAGGATAAAGGGGGTCCAAATATATGTTTCCATTAAATGCATTGATCGTTCACAAAAAGGGAAGCCAAACCCCCGGATCCCATCCCCCTTCGATCTGCCACTGATTGTGTATATAAATATAATTGTTACTTTTAAAAAAGTCATAGACTAGTACTAGTTCCGAGCACCTGTTTTGGGATATATACAGCTAATTAACCGTAAATAACTGCGAAAGTTGGTAATTGTCTATTCTCATAGAGCCTTTTAATATACATGTAAAAATGTGTTACTGCCTATATTGACCTTAAATGTTATAATGTTATTCAGTCTTGCATGGCCTAATGGGACCTTGTTCTACTCATGTTGTATGCTATAAGCAGATAAGTAACCTTTCTTTCCTTTTGAAATACAAATAACTTTTTAAATATACATGAAGAATTTTTATATTAGCTTTTGAAGAATTGAAATAAATCGGAGACAGCAAATGAGTATTCAGCTGCTTTACATTAAAATACATCATGTACATACATGTGACAGACACAATATTATATATAAATTATTTAAAGTTATAAAGACATTTAAAAAGCAATTTTTTGCAATGTTTAAATTTATATGTAGGCCCAAATTTTGATAGTTAAACGTTAAACTTTAAACGTTAAAAAATTAACACCCAAAGTTCATACATAAGAATGAACTTATAGTCGTAAACAATGTTTAATGTATATATGCTATTGCCATGAAACTAGGTAAACTGTCTTATAATTCCCTAATCTTAGTTCATGCCAAGTTTGATTAAAATTAGTATTTCTACTCTATTAGGTCTCTAGTGTATAACTTGCAAATTATTTTCATACTCCTTCCAAATTTATTGCTTTAAATATTGCGGATGAAATTACATCATTTTGTACATTGTAAAAAAATGTGGCAATTTTTTTTAGGTTAAGGATGTTCGCTCCTCTTGATTTTGAATTTTTACCAGATATTCGGAATCTTCTGGTTTTATCCATGCAGTGCCATTAAAAATTTTTGCCCGCAAACCCCTACTTTTCTTTTCATATTTTTATTACATAGTTTAAAAAGCCATATTTGAAAATCTTATAAAATCCTTGTTATTTTTCCATAGCTTTTGAAAGATAAAGGTGCCAGTGTTAAGATCTAGAGAGAATCACTTCCCGCCAAATTTTTAATGGCTTATATTTTAAAAACAAGCACACGGACCCTTCATTTTTTCTTTTTTTTTAGTTCCGTTATTCATATACTTTCAATTTATAACAGTCTTTTAAAAAGCTTGTTATTTTGAAACAGAGTAGCAAACATCCTTAAGTAGTGATTTAGTATAGTTTGAAAAGGTCAAATATTAGTATGTCTGAAGTTGTCAAACTAAATTATAAACCTTTTAAACATAAAATTGTCCATATTTTGAGTTATAGCTTATAGATTTTTCTATTATGTTAATATGTCCTGTTCCAAAATTAGTACACTACACTGTAAAAATCTTTTTTGGATAGAGCCAGCGCAATTTTTTAAATTTGCCTTTTTAGCTCATCGTTCTGAAGGAAACAGTGAGATTTTGCCATCACTTGGCGTCCGTCGTCGTATTGTCGTTGTCTGTCATCAACCGTTGGCGTCCGTCGGGTGTAAACTATTTCAAACATCCTCTCCTCTGAAACTACAGAACCAATTCCTACCAAACTTAAGCTGAATGATCCTTAGAGTATCTACAATAAAGTTTGTGTTTTGTTTTTTTGTTTTGTCAAAAAACATGGTTGTCATGGCTAAATAAGAACATAGGGGTAAATGTAGTTTTTGGCTTTTATCTCAAAACCCAAAGCATTTAGAGCAAATCTGACACAGAGTTAATTGTTCATTAGCAATAAGTGTTCAAAGTTCTATCAGCCCTGAAATTTTCTGATGAATCTAATAACCCATAGTCATGATTGTTGGGTTGCTGTCACTAAATTGGTAATTTCAAGGAAAATTTGCAGTTTTTGGTTATTATCTTGAATATTATTAATGATAAAGATAAACTGAAGGCAGCAAAAATGTTCAGCAAAGTAAGATCTACAAATAAGTTTCATAACCAAAATTGTCAATGGATCCCTTAAGGAGTTATTGCACTTTAACGACAATTTTACACAATTTGTTTATCATGTTTTCTAACTTTAAAAAATCTTCTCCTCTGAAACTATTGAACCAATTCCAACCAAACCTAGGCTGAATGATCCGTAGGGTATTTAGAATAAAGCTTGTGTTTTATTTTCTGTTTCATCAATAAACATGGCTGCCATGTCTAAAAATGGAACATAGGTGTAAAATGCAGTTTTTGGCTTATATCTCAAACACTAAAGCATTTAGAGCAAATCTTATGTGAGGTAAAATTGTTCATTATGTCAAGTTCTATCAGCCATTAAATTTTCAGATGAATCTAGCAATCCATTGCTGCCACTAGATTGGTAATTTTAAGGAAACTTTGCAGTTTTATACGCATTTTTGTAACTTCCAGACATAACTTGTGTGTTAGTGTCTGGA